AGGCAGGACTGGCCTAGGGGTATTTTAAAGGGGTTTTAAATTAAATTTTTAGTAGAAGCGGCCAAATTTAAATATTTATTTTTAATCTTTTTAAATTTTGTATTGTATTACTGTTTTAAACTGGCTGTAAGCCGCCCTGAGTCCTCCGGGAGAAGGGCGGGGTATAAATTTAATAAAATCTAAAATCTAAAATCTAAAAATCTAAATCGCAAAGGGTTCTTGCCTTCATGTGGCCAATTTTTTCGCAATATTCGTAGGATCTAATGCCAAGATGATGGGAACTAATCAAACAACAGCTATAGGGCTGGTTACAAGTAGACTTTTCAAGAGAAACCTCCAGACATTAGAATTTTTGTTTTAGAAAAATAGACCTCTCCCTTATACAGAAGCAATTAACCTTCAAACAATTGTGGGGACCAGCAGTAGGAGAAGACTGTGGTTCTGTCACTCATTTGTAGACTTTGTAGAAACATCTGGATGACCATTGCTGGAAATCTGATCATAAGGTGGATGGATTTTTTACCCAATCTAGCAAGCAAATTTTTGTATTTTTATGGAAACTAAGGTAAATATGCCCTATTTTATCTGGCTGGTCTTACCGTTCCTCTTGGAATTCACGCTTTGCATCTGCCAACTGCGTTGTTTTGCTGCTGAGCTGCTCCAGAAGCTGTTCAGTTATATCTAAGGCAGGCAAGAAAGTGCCCATCAGATTTCCATATAAGCATTTTACCTGGATAATTGCTTGGTACCCCCTCTTTATCTCCTTCCCTTCCCTAAGGTGTAAGCTTCTAAATCAGCGCATTCAACAGCTAGTTCTTTTACTGTACTAATACTTATAAAACATGAAACTTTGATCACACTATTGTGGCTGCCATCTTGACTTTTTTGACCACATCTTGCAGACAACCTTGTAAGTATTTAGCTAACCTTGCCTATTCCAAAAGACTAAGGAGTGCCCTGCTCACTTCTTGAAGAGGGAACCAGCAACAATGTAAAATACGTTATTGGGTATGTCTAGTCCAGTGATGGCGAACCTTTTAGAGACCGAGTGCCCAAACTGCAACCCAAAACCCACTTATGCATCGTCAGATGCTGGGTGGGTGTGGCCCACTGGGTGGGCGTGGCTGTGGTGGTAACGGCAGACTGGGTGGGACTAAAAAGTTCAATCAATCAGTTCCAACTTTGCAAGATCTTTTTTTTCCTGCGAGAAGTTGAAATTGACTGATTGATTGAACCTTTTTTTTTTTTTGCACACGGCGGCGGAGGCCTAAAGCGAAAAGGTTTTATAAAACCCAGCTGAAGGCCTAGGACTGGGGCGACGGTGTGCGTGCCCACAGAGAGGGCTCTGAGTGCCGCCTCTGGCACCCATGCCATAGGTTCGCCACCACTGGTCTAGTCTAATGAAAAGAAGGACTAGGAGTAACATGATAGCAGTGTTCCAGTATCTAAGAGGCTGCCACAAAGAAGAGGGAGTCAAGCTATTCTCCAAATCACCAGAAGGCAAGCCAAGAAACAATGAATAGAAACTAATAAGAGAGAAGTAACCTAGAACTAAGGAGGAATTTTTTAATAGAACAATTAACCAGTAGAATGACTTGCCTCCAGAAGTTGTGGGTACTCCAACACGGGAGGTTTTTAAGAAGAGATTGGACAACCGTTTTTCTGAAATAATATAGATATTTTCTATTTGAGCAGGGGGTTGGACTAGAACAGGGCTTTTCAACCAGTGGTACGGGTACCACCTGTGGTACATTGGCACCTGGCAGGTGGTATGCAACCATCCTAGAAAAGTGGTAGTGGGGAAGGGGAATGAGCTGAACCGGTGGCAGCACCGCACAAGCCTGAGCGAGAGATGGCTGGAGCTGCAGGGCTGTCAGGACTCAGTGGAAGCGCCAGGATCAGCGCCAGGCTACAGCTGGAGCTCGGCGCTGATCCTGGCGCTTCTGCTGAGCCCAGAAGAAGCGCCGATCAGCTGGAATGTTGCAGCCTCTCCAGGGTCTTGTGATTTACATTCAGATGTTTGGCAACTGATTCATATTTATGACGGTCATAGTGTCCCAGAGTCATGTGAAATGACCAAAACCTGCTGCAACCACCCAGCAGACGGGGGGAATAAAAACCAAATACCCCCCACCCCCCCACCCCCCCGCTGCCAATCCTCAACAGAAATGCTCACAACAATAAAAACCTGGGACAGGAGGAAGAGCTCCACTGGGTGGGCAGGCAGGTGTCTTGCTCGGCTGTGCCTTGGGGGGGCACTTTTTTCAGTGCCATTGTAACTTCGAACAGTCACTAAGCGAACTATTGTAAGTTGAGGACTACCTGCACTTTATCACTTTTTTCCTTTTTTGGGGGGGGTCACCAAGTTTTTGACACCTTGCTAGGTGATTGGTGGTACTCGGATATTGCCATATCCTAAAAGTGGTACAATGGGTGAAAAGGTTGAAAAGCCCTGGACTAGAAGACCTCCAAGGCCCCCTCCAAGTCTATTATTCTGTACATTGGGAATTTGAGGAACCCTAGAACAAGGCAATGGCAACCTACTTCCAATTTTTTGCCTGAAGAGTTAGCAACCATATGCTAGATGCTGAAGCTCTTGCTTATCTCTTGTACTTGCATCCAACAAACAAGTTTGAAATATCCCTAAATTTAGAGGGCTTTTTCTGTCCTGCTAAATAGGTAAAACGTGTTTTAAAATAAATCTGTTAAACAATCTTCTAACATTTTTGAGAGACGAGAATCACTACAGGGCCAGGATTTCTATGTTTAGGGAATGGGACCTCAGATTTTTCTGATTTTTCTTAAACTATAGAAAATCTAAATTAGAATGTATATTGGTTGGTTTCTCTCAACTGAAAAACAGTGTTGCTGAGTTCTAGCACTTAGAATAGAATAACAGAGTTGGAAGGGACCTTGGAGGTCTTCTAGTTCAACCCCCTGTTTAGGCAGGAAGCCCTATACCATTTCAGACAAATGGTTGTCCAATCCCTTTTTAAAAATTTCTAATGTTGGAGCACTCACAACTTCTGGAGGCAAGTTGCTCCACTGATTAATTGTTCTTAATGTCAGGAAATTTTTCCTTAGTTCCAGGTTGCTTCTCTTTGATTAGTTTCTATCCGTTGCTTCTTGTCCTGCCTTCAGGTGCTTTGGAGAATAGCTTGACTCCCTCTTCTTTGTGGCAGCCACTGAAATATGTCACTCCTAGTCCTTCATTTCATTAAACTAGACATACCCAGTTCCAGCAACCATTCTTTATATGTTTTAGCCTCCACTCCTGATCATCTTTGTTGCTCTTCTCTGTACTCTTTCTAAAGTCTCAACATCTTTTTTACATCGTGGTGACCAAAACTGGATGCAGTATTCCAAGTGTGGCCTTAGCAAGGCATTATAAAGTGACATTAACAGTTCACGTGATCTTGATTCTATCCCTCTATTAATGCAGCCTAGCACTGTGTTGGCTTTTTTGGCAGCTGCAGCACACTGCTGGCTCATATTTAAGTGATTGTCCACTAGGACTCCGAGATCCCTCTCACAGTTGCTACTATTGAGCAAGGTACCACCTACTATACCTGTGCATTTGGTTTTTCTTGTCTAAATGTAGAATCTTATTTTTTCACCATTGAATTTCATTTTGTTAGATAAATGTTCAAGTCTGTCAAGATCCTTCTGTATCTTAAGCCTATCTTCTGGAGTGTTGGCTATTCCTACCAGCTTGGTGTCATTTGTAAATTTGATGAATTCTCCATCTATCCCCTCATCCAAATCATTGATGAAGATGTTGAAGAGTATTGGGCCTAAAATTGTAGATTAAAATTGTATTTAGGGGTATTGGGATGGGATATGGACTGTTGAAAAGATAAGGTTTTAATGTATGATACTGGTGTTAGAAACCAGGAGATTGTGAGTTCTAGTTCTGCCTTAGGTGTGAAAGCCAGCTGCATGACTTTGGGCTAGTCACTCTCTCTTAGCTCAACTCACTTCACAGGGTTGTTATTGTGGGGAAAATGGGGGGGGGGAGTATTACATATGTTTGCTGCCTTGAGTTATTTGCAAAGTAATAAAGCCTGGATAACAAAAAAAATCTAATAAATAAAATGAATAACTACATTCAGAACTTGACCAAATTCCAAAGCACCCATTTTTAAACAGAAAGTGAACATGTTCAATCATTGTTTATCACATGTCTAATGATCACCTGCATGAAAACTGCATGAAAACATGACTGATAGAAGAAGTGCATGAAAACATGACTGATAGAAGAAGTGATGTCAGAATGAACAGGAACAGAATACAAGGCTTTCATTTCCAGCCCAGGAAGATAAAATTTAAAATGAACTTTCTCATGCCTAGGAGGACGTGAGAAATGAGAGCCAGCAAACCAGAACCAAATTCCTCATTTTGATGGATGAAGGTTTGTTCATGGTTGCAGGATTGTTTTCACACTCCGTTGGTCTAGTTCTGGAAGGAATGTATTACATGTTCCTTTTCTTGCCTCACCTTTGAGTTTCTGTCCTTCTGCAGCTTGTTGGGTGATTGTTGCCACAAAAGATGTAATATTTTCTTGAATGATGTGCTAGAAATGAAAATAAAGGTTAACCAACTATAATGCTAGAAATTGGGAAGACAGAGGCTTGGTCAGGGCTATGGTTATTTATCTTTTTATTAGATTTATGTGATGTCCATCTCATCCAGAAGCAACTCTGGGTGGCTCTGAGCAACTATATAAATTTGATTAACAAACAAACAAATAAATGCTCATTTCATAGTTGGGCAAAAATTGTCTTTTGAGAGGATTGGACTACAAGTCCCAGGAGGCTTTGCAACAGACAGGAAGAGGACTAGACGAATGCTATGTATCCAAGTCTTATGTAATAAAGAGTATTAAGTTATATTTTATTCTGGAGTCCATATTACAAGTTCCTCTAAAGAGAACACAACAACTGAGGATAACCATGGTGTTCTGCAAGGCTGCCAGGGGGAGGGTGGTCAAAAAAGCCCAAACAGCAGTCACAATTGTGCAATTGAAATTGTTTTTCATGTGTTGTAGACTGTGATGCTCCTAAAAAAAATAGGGCAGTGACTGCACAATCAGGGCTACCTTCTTTGACTTTATTGACCCTTTTTACAGGTGCCTGAATCCCAAATTACAGGTAATCTTGACTTATGACCACAACTGAGATCAAAATATCCATTGCTAAGCAAGACAATATCCATTGCTAAGCAAAATCATGACTGATTTTAGGACCTTTCCTTCCATCATCAGTTGCTAAGCAAATTACCGCAGTTGTTAAGTGAATCATGGGGTCATCAAGCGAATCCATCTTTCTGCCTTGAGGCACGCCCTTCCCCTTTTTAGAGAAAGGACTGTGCCCTTAAATCTCCCACTTCACAACTCACAAAAGGAAGCCTGGCATTTACTGAGATTGCAAACATCTGCAGGAAAATAGGGCCTTTTCCCCTTCCACTCCTCCCCCCCCCCAGTGGGAAGATCCACTTTGCAGGTGTGTTTCATGTTTGATCCTCAGCATATTCAGGTAATGGACTGCTGTCCTAGAAAAGCTGGGTTTGTGCCTGGTTTGTGGAAGCACAATGACCCGCATACCAGGGTGGAGAGTGATAGGACAACTTATTCTACGCAGAAGAAAGGACACAAGGGGATCTCTCACCTCACCTGGTCTCTACTTTATAGGAACAAGGGGGTGGGAGGATTTTAGGATTTAGGATTTATTTCATTTATACCCCGCCCTTCTCCCGGAGGACTCAGGGCGGCTTACAGCCAGTTAAAACAATTACACAAAATACAAATCTAAGATAAATTAAAAATAAATATTCGAATCGGCCGCACTACTAAAATTTAATTAAAACCAATTTAAAATTACCCCTAGGCCAGTCCTGCCTGCTGA